TATATAAAAACATTCTTTTGTACTTCTGTTATATTTATCTGCACTACAGCAAAAAATGCTGGGTTTGATTATGATTACAGTTTTCTGCAAAATAAATGCTCTAAAATCACATTATCTTTGCTTTTTGATCGTTTTCTACCACAATAAATACAGTTACCATGAAGGGATTCAATTTATACTGTGATATGAATTTGAGGTCATACCGCCCAGCCCTAGTTTGGACAGTTACTTGCTTTGTTTCTCCCCTCTTCATGCAGCGTTTTTTGGCTGATCAGTTAAATGATAGTTCATACAACTGATATGAACTAAGGAGTAAACATTACTGTCTGCAGCCATGAGAGGGTGCTCCAGGCTTGTGATAACTATGTTGTTCCTGTACCAGTTCAAAAAAAATTACAGCCCAAAAACAGTTTTGAGCAGGAGAAAAAAGTGAGAAGTGAATGAGGAACTGGTGTAAGTCTAGGTTACTCTTCCTGCAATGAAGAAAGCTATTCACATGATGTGGAATGAGACTGGTGAACTTACCAGTAATATGCTTGTTGGACTCGCTTGCTCTTTGACAGCAGGTATATTCTGTGTTATTGTGTTTTTGCCAGATTAAATGTCTGTTATTACACTTTGTGAAATAAATTTTTGAACAGATGCAAATTAAGTAAGTTTTGACTGCCAAAGATTGTCTTGTTTTTGGTCAAACGTCCACATATCACTTGGTGCTCATAAACGAGTCTACTAAAAACTGTACTTGACACGTTGGAAGTGCGTTTTCGTTCTTTAAAGCCAAATTAAAACAATTTTGTCGAATGAGAAGAGAAATGGACCTCCACAGCAAGTTCATCTGGAAATAAGGCACTGCTTCCAGGGTAATGAAGAAATTTAAAGTTATTAGTGGTTAGGATTGATGCTAAAAGCACAACACTATATTCTTAGGTTTTCCTTTTTGTAATGTTGACAGTGTTTAATCTATTATGTTTTGATTGATAATAGATTAGTTACATGTCTGAAATATCTGTGACAACACATAATTAAACGTTATGAGAAGAGTAGATGAGGTTTTTGTCTGAATGCCTGTGATTCAGCCGTAGGTCAGTAGGGGGCGAACGCAGGCACTGAAGGTGTATAAATACATGAACTTCATGGTTTTCCGGTAGTGTTGGTTTCCTGTCAGCTCGAGTGACAATAAACCTCACTCAGATCCAGAATTCTGGTGTTGTGTGGTTTGATTCCTTGTACAAATCATTTTATTTAACAATGGTGTTTTAATATCGACTTCAGTTTACTGAATACGAATTTTCTTACAGTAAGTTACAGCCTGTGCCGGGGCAGTTTTACAGAGATTTTCAAGTTTAAAAAACAAACCATCACACAGTGAGATGATTATAAATATAAAAATTACAAAGATAGTACTGTTTTCCTAATTTTGTAAAGCTTTGACCTACGAAACCCAACTACGAGCAATTCTGATTTTTACACAAGAATGATTAATGACTGGAAATAAAACATTACTACCATTACTACAATGAGTGGTGGTTCGGTGAAGCCAAATAAATGTAACATCTGCCTGCCATACAATGAGCTACTAATAAAACATTATTAACATTACTACATTACTACTGTATCTTCTCTAGACATTACTAAAAATCTCAAACTAAACAGTTCAAGATATTTTGTACAGATAAAAACACACCTCAAAAACTAGTGTTCAACTTAACTTATCTTTGGAGGATAAAACTCTGGATGAACAGATGAATGATCTATAAGTTTTTGAAAGGCTTAGTGGTCTGATGACAAGTTCTACAACTGTTCTCACAAAGGTCCACATCCTTGGAGCAGCCATGGTTCAATTATCTAGAGGTGTTTTCAACTCAGCTTTGTCATCAGCTCAATCAGACCTTTGAAGACGGGTATTCTGATCACATTTTGATGTATTTTTTTTTTCACTTATTAACTAACATGTAAATCAGATGCATCTAAAAACAACCAAAACACCTTGAAATAAATAAACTCAGGACATAAATCAGGAGTTAAAAAGGGGCAATATCATAAAATCAACTTTGAGCTTTATATCATGTTATAATGTTAACCTCGAATCAAAAACTTGCTTTGACTCATTCATGCATGTTTGAGAAATCCTGTAGTGTCCTAAGGCAGCCAGGCAGGGGAGCAAAAACGGCTGGTTGGGCCTAGAGCCGCCTTTTAGGTGCTGCTCCTCCTCTGGGCTGTGTCTCCAAACTGAGCTTCAGCATCACAGAGCACACCTCCCCCGCCACTCCTGCAGGCTATCAGCAGCAACAACTAGCAAACACCTGGTGAAACCACGCGTCTGCTGAGGACGGAGGTAACCCTCAGACAAAAAAATAAATAAATATTTATTTATTTGTGCAAGCTGCTTTACAGATGATACCTTTCTGAACTAAGGGAATTTAACAGTGGACTAATAAGATTATAATTTAAAGATGATGGAATTCCAACACAGAAGAACGCAGACACCGTCATCTGCTCAGGTAAGCTGAAAAACAACTCGCGCTGCTTTGTTCAGTTGGTCTACCTGTGATCTACGGTTACCATTCATAACTTATTATGATGTGTGTTCTTTAGCTGGCTTACACCACATAAATAAAATCAGTTTAACTTTGTGTGTCTGTGAGGATGGGAGATATCTGACCAGCTGAAACATCACATCTGTACTCACTCCGGTTCTTCAGAAAACCTACTTTACCGTCTGATGGTAAGGTTCAGTTTTATCGTGAGTTAATATTTTCAAAAACAGATATTGTATAATGTTGCTGCTTTTGTAGTTACTATAACAAAATAAGACTGCAACGCTCCAGGTTGTACATGGCCTGAAGCCGTTGTGATGACGAGCAAAAATGGGTGTGATGGAATCGTAGGAGGTTCTTAAAGAGACAGAGGCCAATTTCAAGGTGTTTAGAAATAGATATGTGAAGTCAAATTTATTTTTGATTTAAACATACAGTATAAGCAGCATTATCATAACAATTTTAAATAGTAACTTACCCCAAAATAAACTTTTTTTTAGCTGATAAACTGTCTAGAATGGGTCTAAAATGTTATATAGTACTGTTTCTATGCTAATTTTGATGTTTTTGTGCGTATTTGTTCAAATCTGTAATATCTGGTGTAAAAACGTGTTTTTTGCTGCTCATATGGGTAGAGCAGTGGTACTGCAGGCTAATTTGCATATTGGTTAACGGCTCTCCATGGTGACGTGTCTTCTCCAAGGTTTCGTCACAGCGGCTGTGTTCTGGTATAAAAGCCTCTCTCTAAGACACGCCCCTGCAGCAGTCAGAGGGTGGAACAAGACCCTCTCTCTCTCCACACACACACACACACACACACACACACACACA